ACACTATATACACACAGACATACACATGCACACACACATATACATATATTCTTTTCTAAGAATCTAAAGATAATTAAGGAGCTCTGGTAGCGTAGTGCCTAAGGCACTTGACTGCTAACCAGAGGCTGGCAGTTCAAACCTACCAGCTACTCTTTGGAAGGAAGGTTGGGCAATCTACTTACGTAGTGATACAACCCCACAAACTCAAGGAGGGGTCGCTATGAGTTGGGTCCAACTTGATGGCACATAACAACAAAAACAACAAAGATAATTACTCTTCTTAATGGAAAGGGCAATTCATACAAACTGACCACATCATTTCTCCACAAATGTGATTAACAAAAATATGCTTTACAAATTAAATAATGTCTCCAAATATCCTGTGAAATAAGAAAGTAAACACTTTACTTTCTTTCATAATAAATAGCAGTCATCATACACAATAGCCCTCTACCAATTAACTTCTCCTTCTTTTAGTTAAAAACACAAACAAAAATCCTAAAGTTATATTTATGTTAGAACTTTCATAGTTTTTAAACATTGTAAAACACCAAAAGTAACTGCCATCAAGTCGAATCAACTCATAGTGACCCCTCCATGGGTTTCTGAGGTGGTATTTCTACAGAAGTAGATTGCCCAACCTGACTTCCGAGGAGTGGCTGGTGGGTTTGAACTGCCAGCCTTCTGGTTAGCAGTCAAATGTCTTAGGCACTACGCTACTCTTGAAAAAAGATCCAGGAGAGGACATCTTTCTAACACTGTTCACTACTCTTTTGGTACCAGCCTGAAATATCATTCATAGCTAATTTCTGATACTCAGATCTGACTAATAGAGCCTTAGAATGAGAAGCCTAGAGTCATGGATCAAGAAGCAATTTTTTTCTTAGAGATATATCTAATACAAGAACCCTAAAGAATTATACTTTTCTTTTTAAACTTATATATTTTAATCTTTTATTATTATATTGTTAATATTATATTGTTGGGATTCTAATTGCAAGAGGGATTTTCTGAAATAACAGTTAATTAAAAAGTATTTTTTAAAATTTGTTTTATTATAAAGACATTTCATTTTAGGAATTACTGTGTTAGGTCTGAATGCTTTCCGATTTTAGAAACTTGGAAATTTTTTAGAGAAAACTAAAAAAAAAAAAAAGTTCCCCTACAATAGTTTTCATTTGTGAGCAGGTGACAGTAATGAACAATAAATTATAGTAACTTGGCTTTCATTTAAAAAATTAATAAACCATCAACTGTTATGTTGGCATGTCATCAATATTTTGCATGTTAAGGAAGCATATTGGTAATTAGTTTACATAAATGACTAATTTGTATTTGCTGAACATAGTCAAACTAAGCCCATTTGCATTTAGTTGGATTTAGTTACAGAGATCTAACTCTATAACTCAGATAATAGAAAGCTTATCTGAAACCCTGCAGACTTCTGAAACCAAAATGTGGAGGCCTGTTATACAATGGATCATCATTTCTAACTCCTCACTCTCTCTCTGTGAGAGTATTATACTTCCACACCTTTTTCTATGTGACTCTGCAATGCCTTCCACCACAGAAGCAGGTAAATATATTTCTCTGCCCCACTGATACTGGGCTTGACTATGTGAACTGTTATGACAAATGCAATGTTAGTGGACATGACACGAACAGAAGCATTGAGTGTATTTGTGTGATGTGACCTTCCCTTTTGCACTTCTGCCATCCACCAGAAGACCCTCATGCCACAGGCAGCTGTTCTCAGAATGAGAGATGCGGCCCTTAGCTTCAAGCCAAGTCACCCAGTTGGTTGCAGAGTCACTAAGTTCATTGTTAAACTATTGAGATTTTGTTTGTTAAGCATTATTTCAGCCATAGCTGATCAATACACGGTCCTAGGCAGGTTGGTCTTCCAAATCTTCTGCAGAAAATGACCAACATCTATTTAGTCCAAGAAGCCAACAACTGTCTTTTCCTCCAAACTCTTCTTCTTTCCTAGAAGGAAGCTACTGACTGATTTCTTTTTCTTTCCTACCGGTTGATGCTCAGGGTGCCCTGATCAGAACTTGATGAAAAGGGGATGACGCTACTTGTACAGCCTGGGATCCTGTGTCTGTTCTTCGTAACCAATACCTGTAAGTAAGTGTCTCTCAGCTCCCTGGATTCTTGGATATGGCAAGACCTTGAAAGGTTTAGCTTTCTAGGATGCCGTCAAAGACAAATTTCACCTGGAAATTTTGCCTTGAGCCAGACCCTATCTTCCTCTATTTTCCTAGAATACAATCAAGTTTCATTTAACTTGATTGATATTGATAGGAATCTATCCCCGTCTCTCACTTTCATTTCAAACCTATAAAAAGAATAAGCAAATAAAGAGAAGGAAAAGCCTGAGTAGTCCCGCAGAGGTGTATCTGTTCCCAAATCTGAAGCATGTTTTGCAACAAACATAAAATGCACTGGATAGACTATATCCAAGGACACACATATACACACCTTAGATGAAACTAAGTTAACACAGTAGTTTGTTTCATTTAAAGGGAATATTCTTCCCTCAGTAGGAATAAAGAAAATCTGAAAAGTATATATAATTTAAGAAACAAATCGAAGCCCTTCCTTCATACCTGCTTCAGCAGAGTTCTGTTGGTTCCCAGTTTATGCTGCTCAATACTTTTTCTCACATAAAGTCTTTCCACAGGAGTCAGGTCTTCTTTCATTAGTGCATGTAGTTCTTTTAATTGTTCATTTTCATTTTCTGAGCCCGCATGCAAGCTAAAAAGAGAATTACATAAATGAACATTATTTTTTATCCCTTTTTTT